CATAAATAACAACCATATTTATAAGCAATACATAATTTACGAACCAAAAATGTTTTAACAATTAACCTCTCTAGGTGTCAGCATAAATAATCCTGACAGGTGTTTGGCCATATTGGGCAGGTTATCTAAAGCAGTTAGGTCTCACAAGGTAACTTGGTTCCCTCTTTCGATGAACACTGGAATTAGCACTACCTTCTACCAGTTGGTTTGCCTAAGCCAGAGACATGATTCAACTCACGCCAGTATACATATCTTAAATACTTTGAATTGTTTTCTTTAATGCTAACATCCCGTTAGTAGACTTTCAAGTTCCTTTTTGACAACCAATGTTGTTCATTTACGATTACCTTTTAGATAATAGATAACCTCAATACTATTCGCATTATCAAGCATCAAAAATGTTATAAAGAAACTCGACAAATATGATATGAGCTGCGTAAGATTAGATATAATTCCCGCTGTAAGGCCATGATTTTTTAAAATCAATAAAATGCTTGTTGTGTTTGTAGTTTCTGCTCAGAACTCATTAATTACCTCGTTGTTACTTTGACAATAATTTTTCAATGATATGCATTTCCTTAAGCTTAAAGGATGCAGAATTAACACCTAAAATACTCTTCAGCCTATATTTCTAAGGATGATAGGACATTCATCATCGAAGCTTGAGAAAACCCTAGATTTGTCATCGACAACAATTTTTAACATCCTTCAACGTCGTTTTAATTGTAATGTTTGGAGCTCGTTTGATTAACTCATTTCTTATCGACGGTTATTCATTGCAGTTTAGTAAAATCTGATTTAAATCTCCTTCGTTTAAAAAAGTTAAAGAACATGCTCATTGTGAATTATGTCAGTATGTTTCTTTACCAGCACAAATTCACGATATTCCTCGATTCATCAACGAAGCAAGAAAAGTAAGAATATTTATTATGCTAACAAGTAAAAGTTAAACGTTCTTCACCGCGTTTAGAATTACATAACAATTACATCGACAACACGATTTTTAAAAAAACCTAATTTTTTTAAATTAATTTTAAGATTTCATTAAATCCCTTCAATTATTTAATAGAATTGATTGTTTTGACGGAGCATAATTTAAAAAGTTTCAAGTTATTTTGTTTACAACGTATCTTGAGTTTATTTTAGGAGTCTGAGACATTTCAGACTTTGCCACCAAGAAAATCCAGACTAAAACAGTTAAAGTACTTCAAGTTTTGTTGACTTCACATCACGGATTATTAATAATTTGTTTGTTTGTCCACTGAAAATATTTGTTCACTTTAGATATTGTTAGAATTTAAAATCAAAGCTGGATTATTATTTGTTATCGAAATTCTGTAATAATCGCAAAACACTTATTACTTTACACTTAACAACAACACGTAATTATCTACACTGACTCTCTAACTTGTAATGCAAATAAGAAGTTTTTTTATTACTTTTTTAAGTGTAGCACGCGTCAACCAATCAGTTTTCGCGGTTAATAATATTCATTATCACCAGTTAGCGGTTAAGGTGTGTTTATAATTGAACGACATAAATAAAGAATTTCTCTTTGAATTAGATTTAATTTGGTTTTTTTTTCAAAGTTAACAAAAAGGAATAGTATTGTTAATGACAGATAGATGGTTTTTTGAAACGACCTGGCAAGGTTGTTATGTAAATCAGAATTAGTAAGAGGCGTTTATGCTCGGTCCGGGCCGAGATGACCAAAGAGCGTGAAGTAGAATATTAGCATAATCCTGAAATGTGTCCACTAATAAGAGAGAATAAGAAGTTCCAAGTTAGCGATGATGGACAAGAAATTGTACAAATTTGGACTTGGCGCCGTAATAAATTTAACAATAAATTAATATTCTTACAAAATTTATTTAGCTAACATATGTTTCCAATTATTTCCTTCTAATTAGAACTTGTTGCTTTAAATAGATATGAAAAAAACGTAATTTTCCACATTCGATGGATGAACAATTAAATAGGCCGGACCTATTGTATAAGAAAAAGTGTCTGAATGGGACGTACTTAGGCAATTACCGGGAATAATTGTTTTGAAAAGATGGTGCCCGGGGTCGAACAAACGGCCGTAAAGACGCGCGTAATTGTTGGCGAAATGCCTCCGTAAGTAGAATTGTCGCCTCTTTTAGAGGTTTTAGATGCACCGCGAAAAGGACAAACGGTAATTAACGGTCGTTATTTCGTGTGTGTCTCTGGTATTGAACGATTTTTTTTCTTTTAGTTTTCGATTTCAAACTAACTTTACGATCTCTCTTCAGATGATCATTTTAAACTCATTTTCAAGAAAACTTAGAATGAGAAGAAAATCTAAGAATTCAATACTACTGTTGAGTAAATGAACAAAACAAGTATAAGCTAGTTTTGGTTGGGTTGTATATCAAATCGGATTTTATTTGGGTTGAAGTAGTAAATTGGATCTGGGTTGGATTGCATCATCATATTTAAACAATTAGATAGCATTGGAAAAAATAGATTTAAATGAGCACAAATCTCTTTAGTTACTTAAAAAGTAGAATTATTTGATGAGTTTGAAATTAAAGCAAAGAACAAATTGATTTGGTTGAAATTACGTTAGACTAAATCTGGAGGAAATTGGCTTAGATTACGTCTTATCATCATTTTGACCAATACATGAAGAATGAATTTGAGTTGAAAATAGATTTTTGATAGAACTGCTTAAGTAATGTCAGTTGAGTTAGACTTTCTGCATCTTTTTTTAATTAAATTCAATTTGAATGGCATAAAAATTGAAATTGTGGTTTTATTTAATTTTCAAGATAGGTATCTAATCGAAAAGTCATCTGCTTGAATTTAGGTGTGAATGTAGATTTAAGGTGTAAACTCTTCAAATCCAACCATTTGAATATTAGATAAAATTGGATTGAAATTGAATGGCATAAAAAAATAAAATGGATACTTGAATTTAGATTTAAAGTCTAGACTCTTTTAAAGGTTTTAGGTGCATTGCGAAAAGTGCAATCGTTTCTTTTCTTTTAGTTTTAGTGTTCAAACTAACTTTACGATCTCTTTTGAGATGATCTGATTTTCAAGAGGACTTAGAATGGGAAGAAAATCTTGGAATCAGATACTATTGTTGAGTGACATTACCAAAATGAGTATAAGCAAGATTTGCTTGGGTTGCACTTATTATCATATCAAATTTTATTCTTTTTTGCTTTATTCCAATCTAAATAAAGTAATTGGGTAATTCTAATTGAAATAGCAAATTGGGTCAGAATAAAATTGCATTAAGAGTCACAGATTAAACAGTTGGGTTGGACTAGTCCAGACGCAACCCAATAGATCATATAAAGCAGAAGTACAAATTTCTATTTTATCCAAACTGATTTGGTTGAGATTAGGTTGGACTAAATGTGGAGGAGATTGGGTTAAATAAAGTCTTATCATCATTTTGACCAATTTGCAAGAAGAATAAATTGGAGTGAATAACAATTTTTTGATACAACTGGATAATGAGTTACAATCTTAGCATCTTTTTTCCACCTCAACCATTTAAATTATAATTAATTTGGGGCGAATTAGGATAGCATAAATTGCAAGATTTTTGAATAATTAATTTTCAAGATGTCTTAATAATAGTTAGAAAGGTGATTTTTGTTGGGTTTAAATTTGAATTTAGATTTAAGGTGTAGACTCTTTTAAAGACTTTTCTAACTTTACGATCTCTTTTGAGATGATCTCATTTTCAAAAGGACTTAGAATGGGAAGAAAATCTAGGAATTCAATACTATTGTTGAGTGACATTAGCAAAATGAGTATAAGCAAGATATGATTGGGTTGCATTTGTTTATTATCAAATCATATAAATTTTATTCTTTTTTGCTTTATTTCAATCTAAATGAAGTAATTGGGTAATTGCGATTGAAATAGCAAATTGGGTCTGGATTATATTGCATTAAGAATCTATTTGATATCTATTTGATACAATTAGATAGCAATTGGGTTGGATTAGTTTACACGCAACCCAATTGATCATATAAAGCAGGAGTACAAATTTCTATTTTATCCAAACAGATTTGGTTGATGTGGAGGAGATTGGGTTGGATAGAGTCTTATCATCATTTTGCAAGAGGAATAAATTGGAGTGAAAAAATAATTTTTTGATAGAATTGGATAATTGATTTAGGTTGGGTTACAATTTTAGCATCTTTTTTCCACCTCAACCATTTAAATTATAACTGGGTCGAATTAGGATAGCATAAATTGCAAGATTTTTGAATAACTAATTTTCAAGATGTCTTAATAACAGTTGAAAGGTTATTTTTGTGGAGTTCAAATTTGAATTTAGATTTAAGGTGTAGACTCTTTTAAAGACTTTTCTAACTTTACAATCTCTTTTTAGATGATCTCATTTTCAAAAGGACTTAGAATGGGAAGAAAATCTTGGATTTCAATATTATTGTTGAGTGACATTAACAAAATGAGTATAAGCAAGATATGATTGGGTTGAATTTGTTTATTATCAAATCATATAAATTTTATTCTTTTTTGCTTTATTTCAATCTAAATGAAGTAATTGGGTCTGGATAAGATTGCATTAAGAGTCATTATTAAGAATCTATTTGATATCTATTTGATATAATTAGATAGTAGTTGGGTTGGATTAGTTTAGACGCAACCCAATAGATCATATAATGCAGGAGTAGGAATAAATTTCTATTTTATCCAAACTGATTTGGTTGTTGTGGAGGAGATTGGGTTAGATAGAGTCTTATCATCATTTTGCAAGAGGAATAAATTGGAGTGAAAAACAATTTTTTGATAGAACTGGATAGTTGATGTAGGTTGGGTTACAATTTTAGCATCTTTTTCCACCTCAACCATTTAAATTATAACTGGGTCGAATTAGGATAGGATAACTTGCAAGATTTTTGAATAACTAATTTTCAAGAAGTCTTAATAATGGTTGAAAAGTAATTTTTGTTGGGTTCAAAGTTGAATTTAGATTTAAGGTGTAGACTCACCGTAATTGTTGATATAATCTGAGGTCAACGCATGGCGGCGCAACAATCGCCTGCTGATTGGGGACCTCTGGTGGATTTAAATGTACGGTAGCCACCGTGAACGGTGTTCTTAGTCAACCCTCGTAATTACGCACAAAAACTCAAATAAATTCAAAGCTGATTTGATTATTCCATAAATTTTGTTTTACTTTTTGTTTAAACCGTCAAAAACTTTTCTTTTCCTTGCGTTATTGAATAAAAAGAACTAATCAAAATCAAGTAGTCCACGTATTTAACACAACGCACACAGCACACCGCGATGTAATCTATCTTTTCCTTAAACTTCGTATTAGTTCTCTCGAGCAACACACGAACGTGGGGGCATTCGCGCTTAACGCATCTACGTTCACGACTGTCTCTCGGACGTACTTCTGGCTGGTCGGTCCGGGTTTGGACCGCAGCATCCCGGGGCCCCCACTCTGTAGTTTCGGTCCCGTTTCTTCGTTCGTTGGCGCCGCCTCCGAACCACCCAGCTCGCCCACGTGCCAGCTCCGCCCCGACGCGACCTGCACGCGTCCTCGCCGCCTCCGATTCGCATTGTCTGAAAAACGGGACGGGAGGCGTGGCTCTTCTGGGGGCCCCCCGACGTCGAGTGGCCTCTACGTCGTCGGTCTCTACCCCGGCGGATTAAACAATGACCGGTACCGGCTACTACTCTATGTACATTATGTAACGGTGGCGCGGCCCCCTTTTGCGCCCGTTTCTGGCCAAGCGATCGATGTGGGGGCGTCGCGACGACGATAACCACGAAGATGACGTTAACCATCCAACAGTTACTTATTAATGATTATTTATAAATTTTTTTTTTTTAAAAGTTTTGAAACATTATTAATGTTAAACTAGAACTAAACACTAGCACTATCACTACAACTAACACTAGACCTAGAACTAAAAACAAGTTTGAAGTTGTTTTCTGAAGAAGGTTGCAATATGGCATCCGAAATCTCAAACATTTTTTCAAAAAACTTAACTCGAAAATTTCTAGATTTAGGAGCACTTTTACCACCTCTTGATAAATTTATCCGATAGATAAATCCAACTCTTAGGCTCGTTACTGCCATCTTCTGGTTAAGCTATCTATGGGATTATTACTATGGATACGGCTATTTCACGCGCTCTGATTGGCTAGTAGATGGTTTTATCTATAAGATAAATTTAACTAAAAGATGGTAGTAATTAGTCAATGCGAGTGTTTGAAACCGCCGTAACCATGGCAACTATCCTCTAGATAGTTTATCAGGAGGATGGTAAAAGTGAGCCTAAGGGCTGATTGTACCATCCTCCTGATAAACTATCTAAGGAATAATTACCATGGTTACAGCGGTTTTAATCGCTCCCATTGGCTAAGGCTCGGTACTACCATCTTCCGGTTAAGCTATCTAAGGGATTATTACCACGGTTACGGCTATTTTACGCGCTCTGATTGGCTAGTAGATGGGTTTATCTATAAGATAAATGTAACTAAAAGATGGTAGTAATGGACCTAAGTGCGCCAATTTATCTATCGGATAAATTTATCAAGTTGCAAGTGTAAATTTTTATATAAATAAAAACAATGCGTTTAGGAATTAGTATTCCATCTTCAGCCGAAAAATAAATATAAAGAATATCAATACTAAAATATAAAAAAGTTACAATAACTTACTGTCAATCATCGAAGCTAATAGAACCGAGAAAAATCTTGGAAAAGGAACATTTGAAAAACCAAAGAAGTTGATTATTTATATTTATACGAAAGTTTCTAGTTCTAGGTCTAGTGTTAGTTCTAGTTTTAGTTTAATTAACACCGCCCGTGAAAGCCTTCGTACTTATAGTATTAATGTTGTAATGGTAAACCAACAGACTTAGACTTAGACCTCAACACAACATTTTAAATGATAATTAAGATTTCAAACAATGCATATGAAGAAGATTCCTATTTCTTGGTAAACTTAATATTTTAAGTAACAAATTGGATTCTCGAATAATCAAATAATATTTTGAGATAATTTTGATGTTTGCAAATAAGCATCATAACATAGAATTAGTACATTACATAACAATACATAATTTTTTTATTAACGTAACCAATTTGAAATACGCTGCTATTTTATCATCGAGGTTCAATCATTTAGCACACATCTATTTATACCGAAATTTTTAAACTATGAGAATTTCGTTTTTATGAAATTCGTTATTTTTTTTGTAACACAAAGTCTCGAGACTACTACTTAAACTTGAAGAATTTTAAAAATAAACCGTACCGTTTTCGGCGTGCTATGATGAGAAGAGTGAGAGAACTCGCGAAGGAACGTCATCGTCGGTTGACAAGTGGCACTCAATGAGCCATCAAAAACTCGGGGCGAAGCCGCTCGTCAACACTTCACCAGAACGCGAACCTCTTGATTCAATACGTGTTACAATTTTCTGTGTAACGCCGCCACTGGAAAAACCGTTTTACAACGATCATTTCAGCCTCAGCTAAAAAAAAATCCAATTCATCTTCGAATCACCTGAAAATCATCTCAAATTGATCGTTTTTGACATCAAAGATGTTTTTTATTTTTTTTTGGGATCAAACGGTTCCTTATAAAACTAGATGAGGATGCTGTAATGAAGCGTAAAGTGATGTTAAAAAAATAACGTCCTTAAAAATAATTTCATAACCTCATAAAATCCAATCTTAAGTTCAAAAATAGATGTTAAGTTAACAATCTAATTCTCTCGGTGACCTTCCGGGGTCTTCCTGAGTCTCGCAGAAATAATTACAAAACCCATACCTCACGCACTAAAACCATCTCCGAAGAGGCACTTCCATGTCTCGGGTTCTCGAGTTGAAAAGAAAAATCGGAAAACGGATGCGAGTCTGAGCCTTGGCCAACAAGCATAAAAACCTGAAAATGGTAAAAGGTAATTGGCACCGCTCCGTATGCGTTTAACAACGCTTCTATGTCCTCTTGGCAGGGGGTAGCGCTATCCTGCTGGGAGTAGCACACGAGTGCCGACCGTGAAGGTTCTCTCTCATTGTACCATACGTAACCCAACAGACGCAAAGAATTTTTTTCTTCATTTTAAAAACGATCAACAAGGATGAGTTGAAGATGAGATGTTGAGGATAATGACCTTGATCTATAATTTTTTCCTTTAAATTTTATCTTTTCTGAAAAAACTTACCCTATGTTTAAAAAGTTAAAAAAGTAAAAATACGGTGTGATAAAGTTGAACACGTGGATCCTATTTATCTTTAGGTGGAGAGTTAAAAAAATGGTAGCACGCTATTTTAAGTAACGGGTTAAAGTCGCTGCTAATAGGCTATCTATTAGGGATGTGTGAAAAGTACTTTTATAATTTGTGCTCATCAATATAAAAAAGTGTCACACGTCATAGAATTACTTTTTAATGTTGTATAACGATTTAAAAAGCTAATAAATTATTTTTTTCGAAATCCCAACAACCTCTAAAAGATTTTAATAACCATCCAAAAAGAATCAAAAATTAAAAGCTTTAACATATCTCGTCGTCCAGAAATGTACATACAAGAACTCTCAACTCCGTCTCATCTTTCCACAACAGATCTATTTCGCAAATTAAAAATACTTAAGGGTATTTTCAGATGAACTGGAACGTTCTCCTCCTCCCGTTGTCTCTTGCTGCCGCTTGCTTACTGCTGCTGTTGGCCACACTTTTGGAGCAATGCCAAAACACCAACGAAACTCCTCGAAAGCGCAACCGGACGACGACGGATGCGAAAGAAAACGTTCTCAATCGAGAGAGGGAATGACCATTCATGAAAACCACAAAGAAACTACAACGTCTTCACAAAGATACAAGCACTAGAACGAACAGAAACGGGCTACACTGAAAAATAAAAAAAAGAAATAAAACGAAAAAGCGGTAGTCACAATGCGTGGAGGTTGGTTTTAAGAGAAAGAAAAAAGTTAATTAGGACGGACTTCAAAGCTCGTTGACAATCGCCTCTTTTCTTGTTCTTCTTCTACTCTACAACGACCCAAAATAGAAACGTCCCGCGTCCGGTTTGGACGGTCGAGCGTCGCGACGCCAACCTCTTCTTCTTGACTTCCGGCAGGCTCCGTGCCAAAGTTGACAATGGAAATCCCACGTGAACCGTTTTGTCTGCTTTGCTATTTGAGTTATGGAGATGTCTGGGGAGTTACCAGAAATATCTTTAACACAACGTACAGAAACTATTTGGAAACAACTTTTTAAAAACAAACAAATGTAAATTTAAAAAATCACATCTATTTTATTTATAGGAATTAAAAGAATTAAGTTTACTGGATAATAAAATATCCGTTATAAACAAACAATTAAAAAAGTTATCTGTCAATTTAGTTAAATATAAAAATTATTGAGATTAAAAAATTAAATTATAACCCAACCTTATTGTGATAGTCTGGTAGATATATTCATAATACAATTATGAATAATAATAAGTATGGCACAACTTTCTCAAGTAAAATCCCTAAATCTATGGAATTTTACGAAAACGTTTAGGAATTTCCCATTCTTTTTGTTTCACTGTTATGGTTGAATGATTTTTGATTTCTTAATTTTTTCAGATAGGGAATAGTTATTGAAAGGATTTAATTTATTGGATACTTTAAAATAGTTTTATGGTATAATATGATTATAGTTGGGACTGGATAGGAGAGATATTGATGAACTTGTAAAGTAATTCATCACTAGGACTGAAAAGACGATTATGAAGATGTCTAATTTGTGTAATGGATCTTAACGCCGATATTTTCAATGTGATAGTAATTCTAGATTGTAAGACTTAGTAATTTTGGCGCTTCACACAGAACTATAGATACATGTTATATGATGGGTTTCCATATGGATCTGTAGATGTGTAACACATTTCGTTGAGATTCTGCGACCCTAAGTATTAGAAATTTGAAGGAATTAGTGCGACATTTACTTTTTACTTTCACCTTGAAGTCTTGGTTCAGTGAGCAAAGCATTTGTATGGGTGTCGTTGCAAAATGTTTTAAAATCGAGTTCCAGAACTAATGCATGGGCGAATCTAGCCAAAAATGTTGAAGTTACAATTTACTGTTGTTGATATCCATGTCATAATGACTCAAGATATCATGGTGAGCATCAGATCCTTTCACCGCCGATCAAATGAAGGAAGACTTAAGAGAAGTTGGTTGGAAAAAACCTTTTGTGTTAGTAAAAAAATGAATGAGACAGAGTAATGTATGTTCGCCGCCGTACTGCAAAAGAACTTGATCTTCTATGTACGAAAGTAATTGTTAAGCTTGGAGATCTCTAAGTTTTTATAGTTTATCGTTAGTCAAGAGATAACCGTCTTTATCGCATCAATAGAAGAATTACAGAGCAAATCAGGATTTTCCAAAACAGGATTTTAATATGTTATGCCTCACATATG